TCCCATACAAAGTGGTTTATTAGCTGGGCAATGTTTAAAGTGTGTTCTATTGAATTGTATCCTGAAAACCAAGCCCCAGGGCTGGAGCTGCTGAGACTGCCAGAGCTTTCTGACCGGGCTGGCAGGAGCTATTCAAGTGTAAAGCATGACTTTCAGAGGCAGTATGGATTCTCCCGTGGCAAACCTTTCTGTTGGCATATTGTCAATGCAGCCCCATCAGATGAATCATAGCCAAAGATTTTTCTCCTGAGAACTACTAGCTCAGTCTTTTTTTCCCCATCAGTTCATAATTTTACAAGATGAAATACTGCTGTGTTAACACATAGTATAGGTTCTATTAGTCGGTTGTTAAGAATCATTTGGAGCTGGTGATTTGGACAGTTGGGTTTGAGTGGGCTGCGGTATATGTTTGCTGTCTTGCCATACAATGTTATCCCTTCAGTGCATTTTGTAAGAGCTTCCATTAATTTCCGTAGAAGTCTGCATTTGGGGTGAAGGGTGACCTAATCTTTAAAAGCATCTTAATCCACTTAGACACCCTTGCGAAGCTCAGCATTTTTTCCTTGTCAGGAGCAGACTGCGTTCCTAACCTTGATGTGTCACTTTCCAGTTGGCTTAATATTTGGGTGATAATAAAAAGGAAATGTTTTTGAAAGATTAAAAGAATTCATGCTGCTAAGGTATGTGCATGTGTGATGTGCAAATATAAAAAAAGATATGAGCATAATTTTAAGTGTTTGGGTGGTAGAAAAATGATAAAATAGTACCCTCAAGTGACTGTAGAGAACAAGCACAGGAAGAGGTAAATCCATTTGAAAGGGTGTAAATGGAGAATTATGAGGGAAGAGGAAATGGGGCTGAAATGTTGCTTAATGTAAACTTAAGTGCAAGACAAAAATAGGACTCCTGTTAGTTTGACCTGAAAATGTCTCTTCACAGGGGCCTGAGGGCAGCCAGGGAAAATGTGGTCTCTGATGTCAGTACAAGACCTAGTGTCTGTGCCTTGTTAAGATTAGAGATCTAGGCTTGGCTCAGGAAGGGTGGAAAGCTGTTGCCAGCAGCCTGTGTTTGTTTTTTTTGGGGGGGGGGGGGGGGGTGTTCAGCTCAAACTCTGGTCATGAAACAAAGTACACCACAATTAACACTAATTGGTACCTTCCTTGACGTTTTGGCTGGGTAGGGTGAACTCCCTGGAGGCAGTCACTCCAGGCCAGAGGAGGAGGCCCATGGGGATGTTGCATGGCTCACAGGACCTTCGTGACAATGGGAAATCTTGAACCCAGTTCACACTGCATGAGGACTACCTGCTTTGTATGTGGTGTTTCTCCCTGGGTGGCCAAATTTCTGCAAGGAGTGAACGCATGCAGACATGCCCATGTGCACACGCTGAGCCTTGAAGCCATTTGCTCACTGCCCTTCAATCAAAACCACCTGCTCTCGCATTTTGTTTTCTGTTTGGTGACTGAAGCGAAGCTTCATGTGCCTTCACATGAGAGCTAAGTGGGTCAGCAGGCTGCTTTGTTTGCCTAGCTCTCATGTGGAAAAAGCCCACCGCAAAATTCTGAGGCTTGGCAGGAAAGTGCCAATTAAAGATAGCAGTGCAGGAGCATATTGTCTGAGTTGAGAGTGCTTGAATCTAGGCCTGTGACAACTGTCATGTGCAAAGGAAAGAACGAAGAATTATCAAGTTCAAAGTTGAGCTGAAGTAGCTAGTGCTTTCCCTGTTTCAAGTATTTGTTCTTGCACAGGATGGACAAAGAGATTGTTCCCTGTTTCACAGGTAGGGTTAGTAAGGGGTAGAGGAGGTGAGTCCATGCCAGAGTGGGATCGATGGCTCTCAGAAGCTGGGTACTTGGGCTTCACCCATGCTGTGAACAGCCCATGCTGTTTGTCTTTGTGCCAGCAGCAGTCCAGCCTTCTCCTTAGCACTGCACAAGTCTGTTCAGGTGATGTGTGCAGGAGATCTAAGTGCCAGGAGATGCCAAAGGGAGCGACATCGAGTTGAGAGTTCTTCTCCGCCTTAGCCACACAAGTAGTCATAAAGGAAACACACCTTTCTAAATCTGCATGGTGGTGTGCTCAATTAACTTTAGGGAAGCAATTCAGGGACAGCCAGGCTATGATGCTGCTATCCCCTGCTGTCATGGGCAGCTACATCATCATCCTGTCATTCATATATGAATGCATTTCTCCTTGGTGCATTTGGCCCTCAGATTCCCAAGCAGATGTTGTGCAAAAGGGCCCTGAGGAAGGGAGAAGAGCAGGTCACTCAGGTAGGGTTGGTATTTTTGCTGAAAGAGAGCCTCTCTTCCTCCCAGTCCATCCTTTTGCTTTCCAGTAGTTTTGTTTTATTCATCTGTTTTTCTGAAAGACCAGGGTTGCTAAATGAAAGCAATCCTTTATTTAAAAAGGATTGCATCCTTTATTTAAATGCATCCCTTTATTTAAAAAAAAAAAAGCTTTCTGGCTTTACTTTGGCCTTTCTTGGAGCTTTTTGTGCCCTCACTGATACCTGTAAGCTGATCCCGTTTCCTCTTGCAAATGGACTGTGCTTTGTTTTGCACATGTATTGGTACACACCTCCAGACCTTTTCAACAAGCAGAGAACAGTGTGCTTTGCAGGTGGACTGATTAGAGAGATATGTGCTGCTTCACCAGGAACAGTATCCTCTCAGGAGATGGATGTTCCTATCTTTCTGCTGCACTAGTCTGTCTGTGTTGGAGATTGATGGGTGAGGCAGGTAAGTAAATGGAGATCTTTCAGAAGTGAGAGCGCAGTAAGAAGCACCTTTATTTAGGTACGTTATTTATAAGGGTATTGCCAAATGTTTGCTGTTATACCACTGGAGGTGAAGTCCTTGTCCAGCAGCCATGTGTGATGGTAGCAGCTCCTCTAGCAGTTACTGCTCTTTTCTTCATTTAGAGAGTCTTTTCTGCACCCTAAGACTTGGTTACAGGTAGCACAGTCATTACCTAACTATGACTTCAGAGAAGCTGGAATACCCATGCAGACTGCATTCCATACGGCAACTTTGATCTGGTTGCCCTTGGGGTACCTTGACCTGCCTTCAGTGGTGGGCTTCCACTGAGAACTGTCACAGGCAATGTATGCAGAGGTCTGCCATAGATGGTGTTAGAATTAATGCAGATTGATGTCCCTGTGAAAGCTGATGGACTTCACAGTATTACCAAGAGCCTCCTCTGAAATGTTGTGAGACTCTTAAAAATAAAATACCCATGAAAAGGCAGTGTTTTGTTAAAGAAAGCAGGATGAAGTAAGTGTGCAATATAGTGGGTGATACAGAGCAATACTATATGCACTAGCATTTAAGAAACCTAAAGGGCAAGGATCAGAAGAGTGCCTTCACTGCCTACTTTTAAGTACTTAAAACCAAAGACCACTGTATCTCTCAGTATTTCTGTATGAAGCTTTAGACTTCCAGTGACCCTCAAATCACCAGAAGTAAGAATCTGTGTAAAAAAACCCGCAATTATATCGGAAGGCAGTATTGAGAGATTTCCAAGGGCCTCTTTTTTGTAACACTGAAAAGAATGAATTCACGACAAATGTGTAATGCACAGTTACTGGCTTCTTACTAAAGCTAAATAATATCGCTTCTCCTAATTCAACTATTTGTTCCATTTTTATCTCTTTTTTTTTTTTCTCAAAACGGAATATGATGGTATTTTAGGTAGCACAGAGAGAACTATCTGGACTATCTGAGCAAACTTTTCCTGTAGTCCTGATGGATTCAGCTGAAGTGGGATAACTAGTTCTTTATTAATGCACTGATGATCCTACCTAGTCATCAGCTGCCGTTGAGAGACTGCAAAACAAGAGAGGGGTGAATGACTGGACTCCTGGTTGCAGAACTGCACAGCTTGGGAGGGAGAGCACTCCGCACAGGGGCTGTCCCTCCTTTTAGCTCACAGGGAAAAGAGTGTGGGGATGGGAAAACCAGATCCGGTGAAGCTGAGCTGTTGTGTCTCTGCTGTGGGCAGTACTTAGGCATTTAGGGGCCTCAAGAGGCCTCTGGGGCAAGAACCATGATAACTTCTAAAGCTGTTTTGTAATTGCCTGCTGTCAGTTTACACAGGTCTGCCATCCTTTTAAGCACTCATATCCCCAGCTTTCTCTTAACATCTGTGCAGCCTGTTCCACATTCTAGGTTCAACCTATGTGGATTCCTTCATGCAAAGGAGCAATTAGGTATTGCTCTGAAACTTGATGGTGGAAAAGAAATCAGCAAATTCAGTATTCTTTGGAGGAGGTTTGCCAAAGCCATTCCTATGCCAAAACCATGAGTCATGAAGAAGGGCATTATTATTTTGAGAAGGTATGACTGAAAATGAGCCAATTCTTTGCACATTCAGTCTTGCATATGAACAGTTTTGATGGCTTAGGCTATATACTTGTTGCAAACTGCAATGGTACACCACCTTATGAAGGTCAATGGCTTCCTGCAGCACAGAGGATGGATGTGGCTGGGGGTGTCTGAGGTGAAATGAAGGTTCCCTACAACCAACACAAGAAGCAGTCACAAGCCTAGGGAAGAAGATGGTCAACCAGGCCTTAGTAAAGAGCCTGTGCACAGGGAATTTGTTTTCTATTTTCACCTCAGTCACAGAGTTAGGAGCGCTACAACTATTCCACGTAGGAGAAAGATGCTTTTAAATGCTGCTTTTTAATCAAGTCTGCACGAAACAGTTTCCCTCAATAGGAAATCGTAAAAAGCAGGGGCTGCGCACTGACATGCAGCTCCAGGCTTCCTTCTACACGGCAACACTTGGCCCCAAAGGTCTCCCTGCCCCAGCCTCAGGAATTGCTCTCACAGCATTCAAGCTTCTCACACACTGCCCACAAGTGCTGTGCTTCCTGGAGCCTTCCGCTGAGGCTAATCCGGCAGGACTGGGGTTCGAGCCTCTCCTTGCCCTCTGTCCCTGCAGAAGCGTTAATCTCCCTTCCCTCAGGGAACCGCCGCCGGCCCCGTCAGCCCAACGGCTCCCGCCGAGCCGCCACCAGCGTCGCCTTGGCAACCGAGCCCGCCCGTAACGGCCGCGGAGGGCGTGCCGCGAAGGTACCGCCCCAGTGCATGCGCAGTGCGCCCGCTGACCTCACCGCCGCCGAGCTGTGGGGGCTTCCACCACCTACCATAGAGACCCGCGGGAGGCGCGTCCTCTCTAGCCTTCGGCTCACTCTCTATGGTCCTTTCGGAGGGGGGGGCCGGTGGGCGCATGCGTGTTGCGGGCCCAGGAGGCTGCTAGAGGCGCACGCCCCGCCGCCTCCCCGCGCCGCTACCGGCAGGTAACTCCTGGGGTCGCCCGGCGGTGTGGCTTGTTGGATGGGAGGGGGACATCCGGCAGCGTAACGGCAGCGGGAGGAGCCGGGGGGTGCGGGGTTGCCGGGGCCTAACGGCTGTTGTGGTGGCGCCCCTCGGTCTCTCGTCCCTTGGGGGCGGCCTGCCCTGGTTGCCTCCGGGTCAGCAGCGGAGCGGGCCTCTCGGCGGGTAGGGCTAGGGGCCGCCGAGCAGCAGCAGAGGCGGGGGAGCAATAGCACTGCGGGGCCAGCCCTGCGGTGGTGCTCGGCCCGCAGGGCAGAGGCCTCCGGCAAGGGTCTCCGCTAGCACAAACCATTGCTTAGGGAAGGGAGGCGGAGTGCAGCCGCCTTGCGCTCACTCGGCAGTGGGGGATTGTGGTAACGCCTGGAGGCTGCTGTATTTTTAAAACCATCTTGTGATTTGGGTGGATTCAGCTCTTGTATTTGGCTCTTTTGTGCACGTGTCGTGCTTTTCTTCTTTTATTTCTATCAAAATTTTGAATGCAAGTGAGATGAGGACTCGGAGTTTATGCCTGTACGGAGAGGTGGATTCATCATTGAACAGATACAGCGAAAATGCTTCAGAAAAGTGCTCAGTCTGAGTAAATAGAATGTAGTTACTTGTCATTGTGTTCATACGGACTTGTCTGGGCTATGATGAAGGTGTTTTCAATGCATATCTTCAGATATCTGTGAGGAAGGGAAAAGCTGCTTCCTTCCCCACCCCCTTGTAAGCCTGTTGAGAAAGGAGTGGTAAGCTGAGGCAGGGTGACAAGCTCAAAAGTGTATGAGGATCCTGTGATGGAGTAGAGCAGAGGTTTCCCAGATGTGAGGGTTGTTCTGACCAGTAGGTTTCCCTGTCTCTTGCAGATTTACTTTGTAAGTCAACGTTTAGCAAAGAAGCATGTGCTGAACCACTGTTGGTAGGGCAGAGAAGTGATCTCCATCCCAATGCTTGTGCAAGCATCTCAGACAAATCCGTTGGAGTCCATTTTGCTGCTGAGTAGTGCAGACCATTTCTCTGCATCTTTTGAGCAGTTGCATCTCTTTTGCGTGCTCCTCTTGATGCTGCCTAGGTGCTGTTGAAGACAAACCAAAGTATTGTCACTTGATACCTGATGACACAAATCAACTGTTTAGTTCAGTAGTTCTCAAATAAGATCTTGCAGGGGTATTGGAAGTGCAAGTGTGGGATCCTGTGTGGGATTCTGAACTGGATTTCAGTTTTGCAGCGGAATATATCTGAGAAGTTTCAACAGTGGCAAGCTTTTGTTAGAGCAAAGGACTACACCAAATGCAGGGTGGAACCACAGTACTACCGTATTTAGGGTTTTCCTTGTCATGGCAGCATAGCTCTCTGTGCGGAACAAGGCTTTATGCTGCAGTCCTAGGTTTGGCAAAGTTCAGTTTTTGCTTGTTTTCTCTGTTGAACCCTGTCAGCGTGACTGAAGCCTGGAAGTTGTGAGAAGGACAAGGTAATGACTAACTGTGTCACTATGGGTGATCCTCTCTCTATTTCATATTCACGTTTTCTACATTAAAAAAAAAATGCTGCCAGTGTAAGTGGATTTTTTTTTCACATTGATGCCAGCAACATTCTTGTGAAGTCCTTGAAATTGATTAGACAGCTTCAGAAGTTTGTTTAAAGAAGAAAAATGCTATGATGTTAAGCACTTTGGCCTTGCTTCGCTTGTCTGATAATGTACAGTGCTAAAAGTGAAACAGCAGCATGCTTGTGAGATGGAGATGTTTCTCTAGTTCATGTGACAATCCCTAGAGGGGCAGTTGCAGAGAGAGCCAGTGATCGAATGAGCTAGTTCTCCAGTCATCTTTCAAGTTCTGTAGGAATCTTAAATCTGAGATACAGCTTAAGTGTTAGGAAAAACCAGATATTTAAACAGAAAAATACTCAAACTGAGATGATTTATCTGTGTCTCATGTATGTTGGTCAGTCCTTCCCTAGCTATTGGGCAATTTGGTCATGGCTGTTGGTTGAGCTGACAGCAAAATTGGCCAGTTCTGTAGTGATTTACAACATGAGGAGCTGGATCTTGCCCTCAACAACCTCTGTGTTAGGGGCAGGTAATGCTGTGTTATGAGAAGTGTGAAAGACATTGGACATAATGGATCTATTCAGATGGATAAAGTGTTGACCTCCCTATTTCAACATACAAGCAGATTTTTGTGAGAATAATGTGGCTTTGAAGCTTGTGGACTGCCATTACAGGTCCCTTTCTGGCCTTGGATGACTTTGCATTGGGCTCATGTGTCACCCTGAGTCTCTCATTATCTCAGGCCTTGCCTAGATTAGGGCTGGAAATCTGGTTGGTGTGGCTCTGGAGGGGCTTGCTGATGTTGACTTTGCTGGAAGTTGTAATTGAAGCTTTCTCCTGGATTCTGACAGCACCAGCGCACCTTCCAACAGCGCTTGCCAGTGCATGTAAAATAATGCTGGCAAGTATAGAAAGGTCTCTCAGCTGAGTGAACAAAATAGAGTGATTTTATCCATTAACTTCTTCAGACTGTGACTTTAGTAAATTGTAAGCAGTCTAACTGTGAGGAAAGGGGTTTGCTTCCTTCCTTGATAAAGGGTTAATGTTTGTGGCAGTCCTTTGCAGAGCAGTCTTAGTTTTACCCCGCTGTTTAATGATATACACTTCATGCTGCTCTTTGCTCAGATTCTTAATTTTCATCAACCTGTGCAGCGTTGAAGTTTGTATTGGGTGTTTCTTGGAGCTCATTCAGCCCTTTGGGTATTTTCTACTGGACCAACTTGTTATCGGTCCTCAAAGTTGTTTGAAAGCCTGATGTGAGCTAGCTAAGAGCTTTGCACAGCAGCATACCAAAGAGCTAAACACGCAAGTTCCTTGGCATTCTGCACTGCACTAGTGTCTGGCTCTATCATAAATGTGAGTGATCACTTTCTCCTCTTGGCAGCACTAGCATTCTTGCATGCACACAAAAAAACCCAACTCGCACACAAAAAAACCCAACTCACCCCCAAAAAAACCCTAAACAACCAAAATCCAAACAACCTGGATGGTGTCGTTATAGGAGGGCAACAAATGGATTTTGTGGTCTGAGAGGCTGCAGGTGTTCCCCAGGAGATTTGGTCTCAATTCATGCTTGCTGTTTGAGTTCATCTGGTTTCCTGTTCTGTTGCTTAATCAAATCTGTGCATGTTTTGCTCTGCAAGAAGGGGAATGCCCATTCTGCATCCAGAAGCAGTTTGCCAAGTAGGAACAGCAACGTTAATTGTTAGGAAAGCATCATCATCATTATTGTATTGGAAGCGAGTGTGCAGATTTAAAAATCTCTAATTTGCTTCTCCCGCCAGCAAAAATAACAGGCTGAACAGTCTAAACAGGCCAGTCCCTGGTGTAGCATTTCCATGTTCCAGGTTTAAGCTGACACCCTCTCTTTAGACTTTGCTTGTGGATGCTTTAGATTCCCAGATAACTCAGAAAGTCAAGCTGAGCCAACGGTGATCTGCTGAGGCAAAGAGCTGATCAAAATTAAGTCAGATTCCGACTTATGTTTCAGAGAGATGCTGAGCAGGAGAAAAGAATCCCAGGTATGTCGCTCTGCCTGTAACATTACAGGTGATTTCTTAGCCCAGCAGTCTCTTAACTTTCAGTAGAGTTCAGCCCAATTCATTGTATTGTCAAACAAGCCCCCTTTCTGCTCTTTGTTGTCCAGTGCTTTCTCCACCACCGTTTTACAAGTCTCAAGTGTAGTGGTGGCTTTCTGCAATCTCTTGCTGCCTGTGTGGGGGCTTTTTTTGTTTGTTTTTGGCCATCTACTTATGTGCTGTTGCAAATGCCAAGGTGAATGGAGTCTGCTTATGCCTGAGCATAGAGGATAGCCCTCCTTCACCCACTGGAGCTGAACTAGTCCTAGGTGGGGGTTTCTGCTGGCACCAGTAAACAGTTGCATTCCTTGGCTAACAGTTTACATGTGTGCTGACAGTCCTGGAGAACAGGGGTAAAAGATCCTCATTTCATCATGCAGACAAGTTTGTGTTAAGAGTCATGAGGGAAGAGATGGACATTAGTTGGGAAGCCTGAAGAGAGACCAAGAAAATACCTCTTCCAAACCTATTGACTTGCAAACTGCTGCTGTTGCATCCCATAGCTAGTTTGTTACAGGCTCCTACCAGAGTTCCTGTCTGGTTCAGTTTCGGGCATCCGATTGGTTTTCAGATCAGCACCTTGACATGACTTGCCAGAAGTGTGTATGTCATTGTCTTAGAATTGGAGATGGTTTTGTCTGTGGTTATAGTATCTGCTAGCCTGCCCGAGGTCATTCTGTGAGTGAACTTACCTGAGGTGTAGACTGTATGGAGTGTTTTTTCCCATTCTTTACTTCTACACCATGCTCATTTTGTTAAGATTGTCAAAAATGGACATGTATGTTTTGAGAAAACAATGTAGCATGCAGAGGGAGGAGATCTTGCTGAAAGACAATTAGTTGGATACTCAGTATCCCTTGAGGGCTGGTACCTGAGGTATGATCTTGTGGATTATTTTTTTTTATTCCGGTCTGTCATTTTACTACCAGCGCTTGTCTCTTAAGTACTTCCTTCCAGGGTAGTTCTGGCTTGGACTTGCACACAAAAACTTAGCTACTTTCTCTGTGTCATTAGCCAGTTATACATCAGTAGGGGATAACAAGGTCCTGGAAGATTGGTTGAGTAAAGAATTTATATTAAACCCTCTGATCTCTTTAAAACTAGATTATCCTGATCTTGTGGTGGTATGGGGTTTTTTTCTTTCCCCAGGATGTTACCTTGCCTTCATTTCCCACTGCCACTGGAGACTTGCTTTGCAGTGGCTCTGGGAAAGGAACTGAATTTCTACCCTAGTCTTTGTTATAAATTAGAAGTTGT